TACCACCTCGGCTTCCTTTGTGGGGCTAATGCGAAACGGTATTAACCCTGAATGTCCACTCTTTGTGTCTACCTGAATGTATACTGCGCCATCGAAAATCATTGTTGTTTGGGGCGTCTTTGAATACCGCTCTGAGTTGAGCCTTTGGCTCGACTGACAAGGCGTCGACGTCAAATGCCCGCTCTTCTACTTTCGCAAGTAGTCCTACTGGGAATGCCAGAATCAGATTGGTCAGAATATATGGAGCTCACTACGCTATCATTGTTTGATGGTCCACTCCACACGCTCGGCTCGAAAACTACAATCGAGCTCAGTTATTGACTAATCTTGACCAACAGTGATCCAGTCGTCGTTACGTTCGCTCATTGAGGCCGTTCTGACGTTCGTAAACCAATATTTTATAACGATCAAACTTGTTAAAAGAAACTGGATTGGAAATAAGACGAGCAGGAACCCTTAAATGACTGTATGGTTTACTTTCGCAACTAAACGTGAACCGTCTGCAGCGTCTCACGAAACCGGATGAGCTACATGGACAACAGCAGCAGTGCAAACACTAAAGGTAGTCTGGTATCGAATAGAGGGTTTATGCGACTGCAAGAAGCGCAGTTTTTTTTTCTTGACTTCTGTATGCATTCACTTACGCAGCTTGCACTCATTTATTGCAACTATGCTTCGTTTTTTGTCGGTGATTTAAAGGGCATTGTCTCTGTTTGGATAACGCGACATCTTCAAAACCTGCTCTAAAATAATGATGATAATGATAGATCCAATGCAATTTCAACTGTATGCTCTGAACGAGTACTAACGACTTCAGGAGGAATGACGTTTTTTCGAGAAGCAATTGTGTTTGCTGTAACTAACAGCTTCGATGGTTCATCCTAACTGTCTTTGTTTTACTGTTGTATATTGAGTTCTAACGATGTTTTATCCTTTTCTCATGGCTGTCTGATAAGCTCTGAGCTCTGAGTGGTGAAGCCACTTCTTATCACAATTTTCGTTTTTTCTATAAAATTTTGTCATTACGTAATTCACATTACGAAACTCTCGTTTATCCACTCTTGTCCCACTCTATAGTAGAAATTATAGTTTTCAACCTCCTTGAAAGTGGATGCTGGTATATTTATTGACAGAGGCATTGACATCTACCGAGAGAGAGAGAGAGAGAGAGAGATTTGAGATTTAAGGCTGAATTGGTCACTCAAAATGAGGTGTACACCACTGCATGCGTTTTTGAACGGTGATCTCAGCTGCACTTGCAGAAGGAGTCTGGCTTTGAAGTAAGGGAAGTAAATTGAAATTTTTCAATGTGCTATGGAGTTCCTGTGAATGGATAAGCATGCCGAAGCATGCCGAGTCGCTGCAAGTGTAGCGATGGCGCAGCTAATGGAGCGGAGGCTTTGCACTTTTATTGTATGTGCTCCTCTTGCTTTTCAACTGGAAGTCTACTGAAAGCTTGCAAAACAATTTTACGTTTCACAAGATGACTAGCTGCAGCGGTTACTCAACATAATGAACACAAGCTATAGTTTCCTTCAAGAAATTCCGTCTTGATCTCCCCAAAAAGAGGTGCTCTGTCAATCCAGTGAAGTGAAATCGAACTAAACATGTTTGGTGAAGTTTTGCAGAATCTTCGGCGGTTCGGCGGTGCCCCCATCATTGAAATTAGAGTCACTTCTACTAATGCTCTGACAAATGGGAAAACATCGTCTTCGTACATGGATTCCAAGGTTTCGTTTTTATGGAAGAGAAGATAATTGTAGAAAAGGCATCTTCTCTTCCCGCCTATCATTTCTTTCCCAAACAACCTCTTCAAATAATATGTATTTTATGTTAGCTTACGATAAAATTCAGATATAAGTTTTTTGAGATTTTTTCATCTTGTATTCCCGATGACTAAAGCAAGAGCACATTGTAAATTCCCGACGGCTAAAGCAAGAGCACATTTTAAGGAGAGGTAGCGACCTTATCTTTTGAATTCTGAGAATTGTTCCACACCTCCAGTTTGGAGTGTTTTGTTCCATCACTAATGAATAGCAAGTTTGAAGTTTCGAAAAAACTTAGAGCGTTTCGAAAAAACCTGATCCAATCTGTCCCCACACCCTTACAATACCAGCACGTACATCAGTCGAACTGATGAATCGAACTGATGATGGTGAATCCAGTCGACTCATTATTCTTCCTTCGTTTTTGTAAACGTGAATGTCTTCAGATTTCACAGATAAGAAGGAATTCAAAGGACAAGCTGACGTAAAACAATATAATATAGTGAAATGCTTTCCAAGGTGAGGTTGGGTACGGCATTAAACTTGAGAATAATCTCTGGAATCTTCCTGTGACGCACCGCACATAGTTAGATATTTTGATTTGTGTTATATGCTTGGGTGTATAACTGTGGGGTTGACTTACAGGTTCAACATATAAGCGCGACTCAAGGGAAACTTGGTTATCGCAGGAATACACCTAGTGTTTGAGAGCCTAGAGTCTCATGAAACAGCGAATAAATATTGAAAAATTAGGCTGATATTTCGGATGACAAGAAGGACGCAGCATTGTTGCAAAACACACTTTCTCCTTACCTGTTTGCTGGTATTGATGTTGCTGTTTTTGTTCAGAGCAATTTACCATTACCTTTTAGACTTTTGTCAATCGAAGTGTCACAAATAGCAATTCACTAACAGTGGTCTTATCGTCCAAAGTCCTCAGCTCCATTTCCTTTACATTAGCGCTGGCAGTCGAACTTTCAATAGCAACTAAATGATCCAACAGTAACATCAGGCCTTTAATCTGGGATCTGCTGAGTTCAAACTCGCTAACTGAACAGCTCAGGTCGTTGGAGAAGGTCATTCTGGAGTAAATTATGCAAAACCTTTGTGATGCCATCCTTGCATTATCATTCACATAATTATGAGTTCAAGCCTTCCCCTGAACGATACAAAAAACTGCAAAAAAAACACAATATTAGTATGGTAAAACGACGTACCATGATCATTCTTTGAAATCGCGCAGTCGTTGCACACGACTCCAGTCACATTTGGGGAGCTTGGAAATGTCTTAGAGGTGAAGGTTCTATACAGTTTCAGATGTTGTCATGACAAACAACATTGATTACCAAGAAAATAGCTCTCAAAAATACCTATGTCCTTGGTCGGAACTGAACGCCTCTGAAAAGTGCTGTTCTGATACTTGAAATAGGGTTTGCGTCACAGGTATGACATTTTTCACCTGACTAGTCGGTAGAGCTGATGCGCTGCCCTGAAGAAACCGAATAAGGCCTCTGAAATGCGTCTGTTCCAGGAATATGGCTAACTTACATAATAACACAAACACTATTGGTTAATCCGAAATTGGAAGGGTTGGCACGATTGCTTCAGAGAGAGAGGGGCGATGTGAACGATATAATGGCATTTTAATGAAATTGTCAATCACTACGATTGTAATATGAGCATTGAAGATATATGTCAAAATTTATACACCGGTGAGAGCGTAGGCAAAGCGAACGAAGTGACGAAGTAAAAATCATGAATTATACGATTCTTTGAAGTGTTTACGGGTCAGCACTTGAATGACTGTCCAACGCAGAAAGGTTCAACCTTATTTTTCAAGCGTCACAGAGCACAAGGTTTCGCCACCCATAGTGTGTAGTCGAGCTCCGTGCATGTCTTCGAAGAGACGGATTCAAAATTGGAATCGCATCCGGCAGTGTGAGTAAGAGCAGCGCTGATTCAGCTGTCGCGTAAGGCATGGTAACACTAATTACTAAGATTCAATAGCGAATGGAAAGGTTGTCATTGATAGCCTGGACGCACACATACAAACTCAGGTCTTGGAAACAAGAACAGACTTCTCAAATTCACATCCTGCATAACTACAAAATGCCTAGCGTGTAGCTAATTCACTTAAAGCTCGGCATGTTTACGAATTCGTAAATCTAAATTTTCGAAATCAAACTCACAACAAGGAAAGTCAAGGGTCTTGAAAAGCGGGAAACAGGGCAACTGCTGATTGAAATTTGGAGGAGCAATCAGAATTTAAAGTAATGCCAACGAGAGCCTGGCTTATGCATGACATTTTCTGCCCACGACCATGTTGAGGCAGGACATTGGTAACGCTGCGTGATCTAGTATAACTCTCAGCCGTCCAAATACTTGTCGAGCTCGATACATCTTCCACCCAATAATTAAGCACTGCAAAAGTGGTTGTCGCGACTTACCTTTCGATGTTCTGCAGTGCATCGGTAGGAAACGGTGCTCTAATCGACGATCACCGCCTCGCGCATTATTCAAACGGAGGAAAGTGCTGGAAACGCGGGAACGATAAACTTGCGCCAATCAATCAAGCAGTTTTGTGGCCTGTCTTGTCGCAGCTTGGTTGTGTGCCGTGCCGTTCATCTCCCTCCTAGCAGTCTCGTCTCGCGGAGCTCCGTCCCAGTAACTTCGTCATCAATGTAAACTATCTCGTCAGCAATTCCCAAGCATGGTGGATCGGATGCACTACATCGTACGTTTCACATTAGTCCTCTGTCTTGCCGACTATCCTCATTGCTCTCCTCTTGTCTCACCTCATATCACTTCTCGATTACATAAGTAGCGCTCAAAAGTCTTCGACCAAACGCCCTCATGATTTTTCGTTCATAACTTATTCTTATTCGAGCAAGTCGCGCGAAACTCTGATATGATCAACTAAAGCATATTTTAATGATATAATACTATTTGACCGCGAAGCAGCAATATCCACATAACTTGAGCAAGGTGTTTGTTGCGGTAGCAGACTTCGCTGATAGCAAAGTTATTGAAGTCATCCGTTATTCGCACCTCATGTGCGTTTTTCGCCTCTACTACGTTCGGCATTAGCGCTCGTATACTTTAGACATGGCAAAAAGGGAAAGAATTTTAGAAGGACCATTATCCGTATTACCAGTTGATTTTGAGTTCAAGCTCCTGGTGTATCTGGAACATGGTCATATCGCAGGACAATAGTGGTAGATATTCACAATACACCTATGCTACACATATTGGAATTTCGCATGATGAGATTCAGTATGGAAGGGGTTACGACTGAAAAGCACGGCTGAAGAAGCATTCGGCCGATGACTTTTGAGCGCTACTGTGTCTGTCATACTTGTTTTGTCGCATATCGTTGCCGTTATATGAACCTATGAAGAGAATTTGTGTTTCTACTCCATGCGTGGTATCGCAAGTATATGTATCGTCGTTAGATCCTTGAGTATATGTATCGTCCTTAGATTCCTTTGTCTTATCTGTGTCACAAGGAAACAGTCTTAGTTGACCAAGGGCCTACTCATCCAGCCCGTGGCAGGAATCAGGTGCGACATTGTCCCCATAGAGGGTGTGGGCCCTTATAATGCCCATGTTCTGCCGTGGCCCCAGGCCTTTGCCCCCTTAAGTCTGTGTCGGAAGACGGCTTTGGCTGTAGTGATCAAGCCTCTTGTCGCACTCTTCATCCTATCTGGATATTTCCTAGCCCTCTGTACTCCTGAAGCGTAAGCGTCTTCGCACGCAGTTATCTACGTTTCTGTTAATCTGTGGTTTCACAAGCGCATTTTCAGTATACATCTCGCGTGGGTGACGGGTTCTACTGCCCACAACTGGGCTATTACACCGCTACTCATACCTATCCAATACTACTGTCGGGACCAATGGTAGGGGTCCCCTCAGTACCTTAAGCGGTCGTCTTGGCAGGTAGCATGCCGTGAGCAAGCATGCGTAGGATCCTTACGCGCCCTGCAAATATCCCAGATTCAGTTGCGTGGGCGTTGGTTGGTGGTGCGACCCCGCCTATAGTACTACGGCCAGTTGATGCGCTGGAGGACGATAGAGCCAATTGCGGCGCAGTGAGCTGAGATAACAACGCTAAGAGCCTTGTATGTCATGTTAGTCTTCGTGCAGACTCGAGCCGCGTATTTGTATGCGCTAGACCGTGGCGTTAACGCCATTCCCAGCCCTCACATCAGCACCTGCTTATTATTACATGCTTTATCAACAAGTTTTTTTGCCTTTCCCTTCTTCTTTCAATGATGTCGTTCTGATATGCTCTCCCTCTCTTTACTTTGCTTCCCTATTCTAGCTCTGCTTTCCTTCTCCATAATCATTCCTTTTCGTTAAATATAATACCACCTCCTCTCTATTTGCTTTACTTCATTCCTTTTCTGGTCGTCAGCTCATTTATAACATTCGTTATTTGACGGTTCCTTCCTTGCCAAGCGCTATAATCGTAGATACAGTTCACTTCCCAACTTCAGACGTGTTACAAACAACATTTGCAGTCACTTATATATTCATTTGTCTACACTGCAAGGACACAGGGCGGAAATAACTACAACAACTGTATGCTTTCTAAGATGCTTTCCGCGTTAGTTGCTAGTTATTTGACGTCGACTGATACGAATACGTCTCCAGATTTTCAACTTCGTACCACTGCTCGTCGTAAGAAAGCTTTTGTAATGGCGAAGAATGGAATCGATAAGGCCTCTGACAAGGAAGGTCTTTCAGGGCGTGGGACGCTTTTTGAAAATGGTTTTTTGCATGGTATAGGGGCGTGAGCACTGAGTATAGAACTATGGTCCATTTCCGCTAAATGGCCTTCTGAACGCCAAAAAAGTAGTGAAAATGATTTTGTCAGAA